TAATTATTATGGTTGTGTTAGTATTGTAGTAGAAGTCATTTTAAGAAAAAAATATGTTAGCATGAATAATGAGATTCATTATTATTTCTATTACCGTATTTAGCGTTCGATGGAATTTTCCCAAAAAACTTTATCTTATCAAGTTATAAGCCAAAAGGCTTGTTCCAATTTGACTAGATTTCAAACATTAATGCTTAGCTATGGAATACTAGTAGTTTGGCCCATATATGGGACAACGACATGTGATGAGACCACTCAAATCCCAATGACCAGGCCCATCCTCACTCTTTCTTATTGCATGGCACGTCAAGCAAATTAACAGTACTAGGGGTCGTTTGGTAGAGTGTATTAGGAAAAATAACGCATGCATTAACATTGTGTATTACTAGTACCTTGTTTGGTACTCTTTTCCAACCTATGTATAACTAATGCTTGCATTAGTTATACACTCTATTGTGTATTAAGATGTGTATTGCTAATACCATGGATTTCTAGGTATTAGCAATGCAATGGTTTTAATGCATGCATTAGATTAACTAATGACAAAATTACCCTCTAATAATAATAATATTAATAATAATAGTTATAATAATATAATAATAATAATAATAATAATAATTATTATTATTATTATTATTATTATTATTATTATTATTTTTGTAAAAGAATGTGGGGGTATTTTTGTAAACAAATATTTTTTTAATAGTCTTTATACAAGGCTTGCTATTTCCAATACATCAAACCAAACAATGTATAAGAAATAATGCAAGAATAACTAATGCAAGCATTACTAATGCTTGCATTACTAATGCATGCATTACTAATGCATGCATTACTAATACATCATATTCAGCATTATTCTTATACACTCTACCAAACGACCCCTAATTGTATTTTCGATACATTCATATCCTCTCTCTGATACATGTCTCTCATTAAGTAGTGTGTCATTTACAATATATTGAATAATCAAGGAGTGTATTTGAAAGCAATGAAAAATTCGAGAATTTTGTAATTGAGAAAACTTCTGAAATATGATGCAATTAGCATCAAAATGTATGGAATTTCGTACTTTTTATTATTTTATTTTTGTAACTAACCAAATTGATACTCTAGATTAGCGCTTTCTATTTTTCAATTTATGCGACATTATTTAATTATGCATAAAAAAAATTTTAAAAAAATTAAGTTTTTAAAATTCATGATTTGAAATAAATCTTATATATTTGTGTGGTTATAAGTTATTTATTAGGAATAAAAAAAGAATATTAAAACTAAGTTATTTTTATTATATTATAGAAATATGACATTCTTTTTTAAAAAAAAAACTTCATGTATAACTTATTCGGGTATTAATTATGAATTTGTTTGGAAAGAAAAACATGAACCAAACCTAGAGTATTAACATTGCTAGAATGCTTTATGTTATGTGGTAGAAGAAAAAAGTAACCACACATTATATAAACAAATAGTGTAATAATATTTTTTTTATGTGGATATTATTTCTTCCTTATTTTTAAAAAGCAAACTACACCTTATATGATCAAATTATTAAGTTGCATAAATAGCCACTGTAAGAGGTGTTGGTGCATATCTCAATCACTTCAAAGTGTTTTAAGAGTACTTCAATTAAAGAGGAATGTTTTGGGCCTTTGTTTGTGCTTCTCTTCATCATTATCTCTGCACATAGTGCTTTCCTTTCTGCTCTTTCTTTTCTTTCTTTGTCAGATTGGATTGGTACACATGCACACATTCACGTAGACACTACCAATTACCAAATCCATCATTATATTAAAATAATGGGCTCCAGGATTAAAGGTTTTTTGTTTGTTGGATCGTTTGGTTGAGAATAAATTATTTTGAAACTAATTATTATGAGATAAGTTATTTTAGTAGGGGTATCAAAAATGAGATCAACTATACGTAACCCGTCTAACCTGTCCAGAATTTTAAGGGTTTGACTCAAGATAATTTTAATTGGGTTTAATCTCAACTTATTCAAGCCTTCACCCATCTTAAGAGAATCATGAGCCTAATTTAATCTTTGATTTCAACTCGTTTTAAGACTTTTTATTTGCATTCATGTCATGTATGTTGCCACAGTAATTCCTCACTAAATTAATACTCGTTCAATTAATAATATGTCTAAGATAATAATTTCCTCTGGTCCCGACTTGAGCCAATGGAAAAAATCACTTATTTCGATAAGATAATATATTTTCACAAGAATTCTATATAAATATATAGTCCCATTAATATTATAAAGGGAAAATTATATTATATAACAAACTATTAATTCAAATTAAATGTTATAGCCATAGTTTATTTTAAGTGTAATTCGCATCAAACATCTCCTTTTTTTACCATCTGATTCGATATACAATTAGCCATTTTCGATATACAATTAGCCATTTTATACATTTCGGTATAAAATGTATAAAATGTGTTTGTGTTTGTATAAAGCGAGAGAAAAATGTATATACAAATACAAATACATATATTTTCGTCCTATACACTTATAATTATACAAATACAGATCTTATTATACAAATTACAATGTATAAATGAATTTATACAAAACTGAACAATTTGTATAAAATTGGATGTTTGTAGCGAATTATACAAATAAAAAGCTCCATATCAAACATAAAATTTGCCATGGTTTGCTATGGAGCGCAATTATGCACACTATAGCTATAATATACAAATATGATTTTTATGTTTGCTATATGTGAAAATTGCTCAATTATAAACTAATAATTCCTTAAAAGTACAAATATATCTAAGAAAATTTAGTAAAATATGATTCTATTATGTTCTGTTTTTTGTTAAAATTTAAATCCAGTTGAAATTCATCTCTAAATTTTCTAATTGCATCCAAACGTTTCGGTGTTGTCTTTTCTAATTATACCATATAATTGTGAAGAGTTCTAGATGTAAGTGTTTCCTTATGCGTAAATGTTTCCGAAGGTATTGTATCATCTTCAACTTTATCATCAACATTGTTTTTCCAATGATATCCACAATTTGTTCTTAGCTATGGATCTCTGAACATGTACCATTTTCACTCATCTAATAGGTTATTAACGTCTATTTTATTGCGGTAACCGAGATTATTAATCATGACCTCAAGTTTATGAATGACGTTTTCACAAGTGGGTTCTTTCAAATTCTTTGAGATTTCCTCCCTGCACATTTTTTTTGGAATTGAAAAACTCTTTAAATTAATAAATATTAATTTATCGATTAAATAATACCTTTATAAAATAATAATATTTCATGATCCCGCCTATATTAATTTAGAGAGGTTTTTACTGTATTTGTAATATTTTGGCAAGCCATTAAGAACCAAAACTGTTGAAAACATGTTATGGACTAATTAAATTTTAACCTATTTGCAAACATAGGAGACCATTTCAAGGACCAAAATGATATTTCCTCATTTTCAAAATAAGTGGTATATTTTTTTAGCCTTGACATATTTATTAAGAAAATTATTCACTTCTAGAAAATTAAAAATTTTCAAATTAATTTTTTGAAAACATGTTATGGACTAATTAAATTTGAATCTATTTGCAAACATAAGACCGTTCCAGGGACCAAATTGATATTCTCCCGTTTTGAAAATAAGTGGTATATTTTTTTAGCCTGACATATTTATTAAGAAAATTATTTACTTCTAGAAAATTAAAGATACACTGCCATCTTACTCTTGGTTAAATACCTGGAAAAATAAATGACTTTTTAAAACTGTCTCCATTTTATATTAGTTATATCCACTTTAATAAAGAGTGGGGAGAAGTGAAGGAAGAAAGCAAGAAGATGAATCCACTATTTAACACATGCAAGAAGGTGAAATTACAAAAAAAAAAGAGGATCTCACAACATATAATTAGAAAAAACGATAAAAATATAATTATCTAATTTACATTGTAAAATATAGCTCGGAACTTATCTTATCAATTTTTAACCTACATTTCAATCCAGTAAATAATATTATACATACAATATACAATAATATACAATATTTTTATATTTTACAAAAATGTTTATATTTTTAATATACAACAGTATATACCTAATAATAATATTATATAAAATTATATTGCCATATACAATATTATGTAAATTATAGATTTCGTCTTCTTCCTTGAATTCAAACATTAGATGCATCCCAAAAAACACCTTAAAAATTACACCAAAATCACCTAAGAATTTCATATTTGGTTTCTTCAATATTTTCGGAGAAATCGCCAACGACTTATGTATGTATTTTATGATAAAAAAATTACATCCGAAAATTTTCACGATAAAACAAATAATGAAATATGCAAGTTGAGAGAGAGAATGGCATTTCCTTGGTCCCAAAAATAAGGTCGCCTTTAGCAAAAAAATAAAATAAAAAATTGTGCAAAAGTAAATGCCATTTTATAAATTCAAGACAAAAAATGATTTAGTACATTTTTTCAACTAGTATATCTTATATTGAAAAACTTATATTTCTAGTAATATTTAATTATCAAGAAACATTAATAAATACAAACAACTCAATAAATATTTTTTTTAATTTCTTTTAATGAACGTGAAATGAATTATCATAACACTTATATTGAGACGGAGACAAAGAAAATAATATTTAATTTAATCATTTGTGTTCAAAATGAGAGAAAATGACTCGAAACAAGAAAAAATATTGACATTTAAAAAATAATTAATATAAATTGGGTAAGATATGAGAAACAAGGAAGTGATTATAAGTTACCAATTAAATTATAGAGTAGAATTTCGATACCTAATCAACTAAAATTTTCGAAAACACTATGGACATACATACTGTTGGAATAAGAGGGAAAAAAAAAGAGGAGGGAAAAATAGGGCTCGGGTAAGCAGTAAGGTAGTAGAGTATAAAAATTTCACCATTTGCCTGAATTCAATTTTCCCTCTTCTTCCCGTCCCGCTCACCATTTCCCAATTTCCCCTTGGTTCGTTTTTCTGAAAAAGGAGAAAACAGGTGCTGCTAGTAATGGTAGGAGGCAACACATTTGCCAAGACCATTTGTTCAATCTGCTATGAGGATCTCAAACCTGTTGTCGAAGACCTTCAATCCATTTCTCTTTGCGGCCATGTTTTTCACGAGCTCTGGTGAGTTATGTATTTCGGTACATTCCCGTTTCTTGAGCTTTTGATTTCTAATTTGCGGATATCGGTGTTGCATTTGTTAAAATTATTTCAAGATTTGAGTTGGGTATTCTGGATTTTTATTTTAATTAGTTAAGAATTGAAAATAGTCGAAGTATTGTTTTGGGTACCTTTAATTTGGATTTTAATTTGTTTAAATGTATATGACCTGTATTGCGCCTCCTTGTGTGAGTTGCACTTAGTTTAGTTTGAAAATATTTCAAAGCTTGGATGGGTATCCTTGGTTTGGATTTTATTTTGTTAAAAAAACTGAAATGCTTTTTACCTGAGCTGAGTATCTATCCGAAACAAATTCCCTATATTCACACGGCATGGGTAAGGTTACGTACACGCCATACTCCCCTGACTTCACTTGTGGTATACCCTGGGAATGTTGTACAACCTTGAAATGTATTATGACTTGTGTTGGGTACCCTGGTTTGAGTACCTGGTTAAAGATCATTTCTTTAACTAAATTCGTTCTTTTTGCACGTCTCTTGTATTGGGCAACTTTGGTTTTGATTTCATTTGGTAAAAAAAAATGAAAAATACAGACTTGTACTGGGTATCATTGGGCTGGATTTTACTTGGTTAAGGATTGAAAAAAGTAACAGCTTGTATTAGTATTCTTGGTTTGGATTTACTTGATTAAAAATTGAAAATATGTGGAAAATGTATTAGATTTCCTTGGTTTGGATAGTACTTAGTTTTAAATTGAAAATACTGAGACTAGATTTAGTTAAATGTGTTTTGGATTGCATTTGGTTAAAATTATTACCTAAAATTGTACTCCTACTTGTTATGAAATTTCTCCCATTTGTTCTTGGAGTTTTATTTGAAAGTGGCTATTGTTGAACTCACTTGAACCAGTTTATTAGAAGTTGTTTATGCAAATTTTGAAGTCTGATACTATGTCCTTTACAAATGTTTCTTGTTTTTACGGATAAATCCATCTGTTCGGCTTCTATTATGTGAAAAGAGGAATTTGCATTAACGTTATTCTAGTCAAGTCTACTGTCCTATAAATGTGCCTGTGTATAGTGGTGGATGTAGAGCTTTGGCAGCTGGTGTGTGTGATTACGTGTTTATATAACTTTTACACCAATGCCATAAGGAGGAGTGGTGCAATGTTACTTTGCACCCATTAAATTATAATTTTTTTTCTCAATTTGTCTATTTGGGTTCATTTTTTTATTGTGTCTTTCCTATAGTTGCTTCTGCCTCACATGTTATGGTTGTAAAAATCAGTCTGCAGCAATGGTTTGAGTATTGTACAAATGGAAAGAAGAAGAATTGTCCAGTTTGCAAACAGACTTGTACAGAGAAAAACACACATAGGCTTTTTTTTCAATCAGTTGGTGATCCAAATGATCCTAGTCTTTCCCAGCAACCACATGACTTTGAAGGGGGGCCTCCCTGTGAATTACAAAATGAGGTCAAAAGGTTAGAGGGGAAAGTCTTAAAACTGGCTTCTACTCTGGAACAGCAACAAAAAGATATCAAAGAAGTTAATGCTGAGGTAAATGATTCATCCTTTTCCTGTTTTGGTTACCTTGAATTTGCAGTATACAGATTTTAGAGTTGTGTACTGGTTATGGTATTCACTGTACTTTACTTCTATTCATGAAATGGGAATGGATTTAGGTTGTTGTTAATCTGACTAAAAAAGGATTAGAATTGTAATAATTCATTTGTAGAAAGAGATGATTGTAGAAGTTTGCATATCTGTTGTCTAGTTGAGACATTTTTTTATTTTCGTTTTCATTACATGTTTGATAGTTTTTGATTCCACAAAAATACAAGTACATTCCCAGATATTTTACTCCACCAAGCTCAAAACTAAAAATTTGAGCTATTGAAGGGAATGATAGACTGTTTAATAATATAGTATACATGTTCACAGCAAGAGAAAACAATTAGGCACCCAAGGGTGTGACCTAGTGTTCGATGAAGTGGGTTGAGAACTAGGAATTTTGTGTTCAAATTGTTGTGGAACCCAAAACATTAGGATAATGATTTGAAACAGTGATATTCTGCTCAAAACCAAAAAAGTTTCTTGGGAGCAAATAGACCAGTTCAGGTAATGTCCCATGGTGATTGCTGATGCATATCTTGTACAGCCAAGTGTTCTGAGAGATATTTTTGTCAGAATATCTGCCTACATATTCATCCCTCCTATGACTTCTCAAAACTTTCTTTCTCTCAATTAATCTTGTTAGTACTGGGAAATTTTCAGTTGTTCAGTTGCAAAGAGCAGTTGAAAGTAGAAGTGGCTCTAAAGAATGAAGCTAAAAAACAGAAGACAGCCAGTCAGCAGTTACTTCATGTAAAATCTCAGGTAGATGTTTTGACTCTTGATTTATTGCAAATAAATTTGTGCATTGCATGCTTGCACTGAATGCCTTCTAGTGGGAAAAAATGTACTCTTACAAGTTCTATGTGCTGGGAGAATTCGTATTGCAGGAGCTAGATCAATCAACCTTGGAATGCAGACGACTGCAAGAAAGAAGTATGGCCCTAGCTAAGGAGCTTGCAGCACTCAAGCTGTAAGTGAATTATATTAAGGGAACAAGCATTTATATCATAATTTTGTAGTACTACAATTTGTTACGACTTCTCATATATGTTCTTGTCTTTAGAGTCTGTGATGTGAACTTGGGGGAAGAAGAAGTCCTGAAGCTTGCTTCATTGGGTAATGAGGCCAACAGTAAAGAGACAATTGACGTCTTGAAAAAGTCACTGGTCATCCGTAACAAGTAATATTTTATTTTTGGAGTTGCTTTTATTTATGAAACTGAACTACATGTTACACATCATATTTGTTTTCTGCTTGAGCTCAGGCAAGTCATAGTTGACAGGATACCAGAATATGCATGTTGGAATATGTAGGTCTACATGTTAATAAATAAGCTTCAACCTAGAAACTCTATCAAAAGCCCTGCTTCCCTTAGGACTCTTTACATCCAACAGAGTGGTAAAGTTTGAAAGATAGTTGGACTAGAACTTCTAGTCTGCAAAATTAGAGTTCTTGCGCATTATGTCATGCTTACATGGAAGTAGTGCTATTTCAGAAAAATTAGTGGCTTCTTTCTGCTCTATAGGTAATTATAGTTGTCACTTTTTTTTAGTAGAGATACTGACTAGTATTCTGAATTTTATTATTTTCTTCAACGACTATTAATAAGATAAATTTGGGCGGAGTAAGTTATATATTGTGAATTTGCCTGTGGACTTGTTAGGATATCCTTTAAAGTATTATGGCCGAGATTGATTTAACAGAGAAGTTTTGTGATTGAGATCTGAAAGTTTTCCCACCAGCTGATCCTTCCCCTAAAATGCTCATCTTTTTACATTGTTAAGTTATTTTCCAGTGTTTTGAGATGTACAGTTTGTGGTTTACTCTGGTCTGCTTCTATCTGGTACATCAGCATTCTTTATCTTCAAGCTTTAAGTTTGATGCAAGACTACTACTGTGTGCTTCTGGCAGGAGTTACAAAGAATTGATGACCAAGTGCAACACCCTTGGGAGGGGGGAGGCTCGTTCTCTTAGTAAGCTTGAGAAGGCTATAGAGAAGATAGATAAGCTCAAGGTAAGTGCTTGATGTCCTGGTCAATCCAATTTTGTTAATTTCACTTTGAGCTTTGAAGATGCTTCAATGTGCTAATATTAATAGGCAAGGGTCCAAGAGCTTGAGATGGCTGTTGAAGCAAGAGACAATGAACATTTGAGAACTTTGAGAGCTTCCAAGAATTTTGAAGTTGAATCTGGAATAGGTGTTAGTAAAGAACTGAAATCTGTCAAATGCTCATACGAGAATCAGAAAAAGGAACTTGCCGATACAGTAGTGCATTTGCATCAGGTCACTGGCTATGGTCATGATTCTCGTCGAGGGGAAAAACGGAAGGTTATGTGTAGTGATGTGAGTGAAAAAGATACAATAGATTGTATCATAGCTAGTTGTCTTGACCAAGATAATCGGGAGAAAAACCCTTTCCAGGAAAATAAGGATGGTGGCATTTTGGAGACTTCCAGTTATATGCATCAAGTATCAAATCGAAAACTGAATCCACTAGTTGACCATAAGAAGGCAGTCCACGAGAACATTTTATCAAGATTGAAGGTAAGTTCGGGGATTGCAGATGCAACTCAAGTAAAGGCATCAGATAACAAGGATGAACTCTCAGGCTTAAAGAATTGTGGCAAGAACAGTACAGTAAACATGCCACCTGTAACTATTCTTGATGACGATGACCTTCTCCCTCTAGATGACTTTACTCACCGTGAGCCCTCATTTCACATCAGAAAAGGAACTTCAGCTCCAACTTCACTTGCCGAAATAGGTTCTCTCTCTCTTGCTCTCACATCTTTGATGTTGGTGGGCTGGCAAATTCCTTAGTTGTTTGGATGGAGAGGATTTGCAATAAATATCTGTTTACAAATGATCGTAATTCACTTTACCCTTTGTTTGATTATATATATGAATTGGCCATTGCTTCTCTTTACCCTTTGCTTTGATTTTTCTTGAGGGAGGTCGTGAAATTCATTTCCTCCTTATGGAAAAGAAAATTACTCTATAAGAAGGCTCTCTTGACATTGTAAGTCTAAAATTTCAGGAGACCATTGCTTCTCCGGTGGATTATTAGGCCCTGATGGAACAAACAGGCACTTGGGAAAATGGTGTAAGAAGGTGCAGAACAAGGGATCTGCAGGGTTGCAAGGATCAGGTGCAAATTCAGGTGATTTGATTTCTGTGGGAGCTGATGGCAGAGGTGGTAGGATTAAAGTTCTCCGATCTATAAATCAGGCCTCTCTGGTGGGTATCTACTCATCTTTTGACTTACAAATGTATATGTGCAGTTATTGTTGCTACTTTCCTGTCATATTCCAAATTAAGTAGCTTTACTCATTAAGGTCTCTGCTGAATCCACTGTAGATCCTTCCCATATTTTACTGTGATCAGCATCAGCAGTCTGCACTCTGAGATGCCTGGTTTCTTATCTTCATCATTCACTACTCCTCTAGTAGGATGTGAAATGATCTCTTTCTTACCTTGGAGTGATTTTCGAGAAAAACAAGAAAGCTTTGTTATTTTATTGATTTCCTTTTCTTTTATTTCTTATTTTTTGAGATCCTAATAGGAGGCATTTATCAATTTTCCTTTTTTATGAAGTCTTGATCTATGTTGCTTTTTAATTCGTTTTATCAATGATAAGAAAATGAACCTTGGGCCTAAGTTAACCACAAAACTAGTTCATGACGTGAAGATTGCCAAGATCATATAAGGAGACAACTACTCATTCTATCAACCATACTGGCAAGTGGCAACACCTCCTTGCACAGTCAGGGATGGATATTTGGAGCGTTGACAACATAATATAGGGGCCTAACATTGTGTAAATCAAGAATATGGGCGAATCTAACTTATTGTGCCTATTACCGCCCCAAAACCTAGCTTATGAGATAAGGATTGCCGAAAATTATATAAGAAGACAACTCATTAAGAAAATGGATATTGACCCTAAGTCATAACTCAGCTTTTGCGCTAGCTTATGAGGTGATTATTGCTCAAGACCTTGTAAGTAGACAATAACCTATTCACTCCAATGTGGGACATTTAACATTTACCATCCCAAAGACACAATCCTCTCTTATTGTTTCTTTCTTGAAATAATGATTAAATTTGGAGTAATACAGTTTCAACTTCCTAGTCTTTTGGTTCAGTGAAGTGGGTTGAGAACTATGAGGTCTTATGTTCAAATCTCAGCAGAGTCAAAACACTAGGCAGACAATGTTAGTTGCTGGTGGGAGGTGGCAGGTATCGTATGGAATTAGTTGAGGTGTGCTGTGTGCATTAGCTAGCCCGAACACCAGAGTTGTTAAAAAAAAAGACTTCCTAATTTTTTGGTTTATCCAAATTTCATCTCTAAATTGGTTGATCTTACTTCTCCGAATCAGAGAAGGAAGTTAGACTTGTATTAGTAATTCCTATTGATAGGTAGAACGTGTAGTAGAGTACTCTAATTAGTTTGGGATCAGTTATTAAATATTGACATAGTTTTTGATTAGTTATATTACTGATCTAAGAAGGTGGCGTGGCTATATAATGGAACCATCACCTCATGTAGAAGAGAAACATAAAAAGTTGTATTTTTACTCTCAATATTGGTTTATAAATCTTCTTCATGGTATCAGAGCTTTGGTTCTAACCTAAGTTATTCCGTATCCTAAACCCTATTCCACGTTCTTTAAGCCAGTTGATGCAAACCCTGATGATTGGTGATATTGTTGTGAAGGAACTGCCATCTAAGGTTTTGGTAAATGAAAAGGACGATGAAGAAAACGTCAATCCTATGTTTATAGAATGGGAAGAAAAAGATGTCATGGTGAGAAGTTGGCTAGCTGGAAAGAGTCAATGTTACTTATTATTGGTTGCACTTCGACCAAACAGATTTGGGGGAGTCTTGAGGATAATTACCTACAAGATACCAAAGATAAGGAATTTCAGTTGAAGCAACAGATTCAGAGTATCAAAATGAGATTAAAATATGGAGATGAACACATAAAAGAATTCAAAGTAATTTGTGATAGTCTCCCCGCTATACACAAATTGTTAGACGGAGATAGCAAGGTTAAAATTTTGATAAAGGTCTTGGAAACAAATACAAAACCTTGAGGATGTTATGCTAAGCAAAGCCCATATCCAACCTTCACTCAGTTTGGTAATGCACTTAGAGGGTTCGATATGAGAGAAGGATGATATTGATCAAGCCATGACTTTTCAAATCCAGAAAACATAAGGTTTGTTTACATGTACTCTGGAACAAGCTTGAAGTTGTATTGTTGCCAACGTCCAACTTTGGGGGATGATAGACAGAACGTGTAGTAGAGCCTAATTAAATATTTACATAACTTAAAATTAGTAATATTACTAAGATAGGGATTGTAGAGAGAAGGCATGACTATATAATGAAGCCATTGCCTCACGTACAGAGTAAGAAGAGAAACTCAAAGAGTTGTACATTTACGCTCAACATTGTTTTATAATCTTCACTTATCTGTTAATAAGCTCGTTTCTGGTGGAAACCTTCAAACAGTATAGGGCTTTTTGTGTTCCCCTTGGTATTCAAAGCCATGCTGTTCAACATCATTACCTCTTTGTTCATGAGCAAAACCTTTCTTATTAACCTTCATGTGGTAAAGCTTTATCTCCATCTCAGCGGAAGTGGTAAGAGTTCAGAATGCAAGAAGAGAATGGTGGACAATTTAGTTGTCATCTCGTCACCTATTATGATTTTCTTAAACTATTTTGAGCTCAACTATAGAGGAATGACAATAAATGAGCCTAATTATCGTAGTATCTAAGATAGCATAAGTTCTCAACTTCTAACCAATAATCATCTTTGCACTTTTATTGGAAAGTACTGTGGTTGCATTTAGAACTAGATCATTTTCTTCTTGGTCATATGCATTGTTCCCTTTTGTTTATCCATGCTGTTTAGAGCATCTTAAACAACTAATAGTATATATTTCCTATTTGACACTGTTATAGAAAGAGGTTAATGTTTGAATGTTGAAGTTTATTTGTTGCTCTTTACTTCCTGATCAGGACAAGGAGAGTACAGTATCAATAAAGAGATGCAAGTCCGGCACGAAAACAGGTAGTTCACAGTCTCAAGGATGCTTGCAAATAGAACATTTCTTCAGAAGGGCTGGTCAATAGCACATGTAGAACTCTGCATATTCATTCATAGGATAAAAATGATCAGCAGCCATTCAGTTTTCAGTTTTTAGATTTGTTGTGTTAGCTAGATCTGTTTTTACTATTTTTGACTGAAAAATACAGAAACAAAGAGATCAATGTGTTGAGCTAAATTAAGTACATATTTTGTAGTTTACATCAATATTCATTCAGGCATAATTCCATATCTTGCTGAAGTAGGTACTTGTCAATTTTGTACTTTATGATTTGTTGAGGTTGCTTGGACAAGTTAAACTGCTGATACAGAATAGTCCACAGCAGATAAAGCAGATATACGGTGTTCAAAATTGAATCATAATTGATAATCCAAATCGAGAAGTGTTCTTGAATTATTGGATTAATGGTATAGAATTTTATAAAGAACAAGTTATCGATTTGAAAATTGATTCTCTAGTTTTTATACTTGATAACTCGTTAATTCCTATGAATTTACAATATTATTCTCATTTATTTGAAATAGATATAAACATTGAACATTATGATTGAGGCCATCCATTTAATTGCTTTGAATTAGTAATCTCAGTATTTCATACTATCCTTTTTGCTTTCTAGAGTAAGAAAAGTTAATATCATCTTGCAACTCTATTGTTAGTTAATGGTATATTCACGTGTGTTTTCGAACCGAATTGATAGATACCTTATTGTTTCGGTAGCATTTTAGCACAAATAAAAATTGATAACCGATAAACCAAATCATTAAGTAGCAAAAACCAAACCGACCACCAGATAAACACCCAAGACAGATACCAAACTGGGCAAGAAAGTTTTTTTTTTAAGTTTGGTCATTTTAAGTTTTCAAGTTTTAACTTCCTTGTAATATATTCTTTCTCATTCTCATCTTTACTTTCTTTAATTTCTTCTTGTGATTGTGACAATTCGAGAGCACAATACAGTGCCCAACTGCCCACCTATTTTTTTAAAACTTTTTTTTTCTTTTTCGGCCGGTGTTCGATATTCACAGTTCAACTATTCCGGATTTGCTACGTAGGCCCCATTCGGGAGCAAGCTCCCTAAATTTTTTTTCAATACCCAAGACTCGTACTCAAACCTCTGGTTAAGGCATCACGTTCTTTAGTGATACCTATCCAAATCTCTTTCATTCATTTGAGCGTCAAATTCTCTTGGTCTAAACTTGACCTACAAATTCAGTATTGTGGTTTGGAAGCAATTCTTTTCCTTTTTTATACATTTGAGCTAATCCACGTTTTTTTTATTTAAAAAAACTATACCTGTGTATTATTAATACAGTTCAATTATTTGCCAATTTGACGACAAAAAGCTAAATTATAGGAGTAATAAATATTTGAAGGACCAAATAAACTCTTAACTAACAGAAAATTTTAAAATCATGTCATGTTATAGTCCCTCCATTCACTTTTACTTGTCACTTGATTCTAAAATAAATTTTCATTTTTACTTGTCACTTTTGACATTTTAAAAAAAGACAATAAACTTTTTCCATGTTTTACCCTCAGCATTAAATACTTATTTTTCAAAATATTATTTAATAGAGGATGATTTGATAAAATACCTATATCAATATATAATTATTTTCTTAATGGTGTGACAAGTCAAAGTGTGACATAAAAGTGAACGGAGTATTTCCTAGTTACACTAACGTGAGAGACTTAAATGTTATGATCAGTCAATTTCATGATTTACTTTAATGTTGTAACACTACTAATTCCGTGATTAATTAGTCCACATCGAGAAGGATCTTGATTCTTTTAGATATAATTAATTTAATAAGGATAAATAATTGTTGATATATCGACTTTAATTTTAATAAAATATAGTAAGAAATTTCTAGGAAAACTCTATTAATTTTCACGTACATATATAATGCATATGGAAAAATACCAAGAAACTTCCAAGCGTAGAAAAAACATAATAAATTCGATTTTGGAAAAATTGAATAGTAATGACCAAATAAAAAGAAGTAAAGAAAGAAATAAATTATACTTGATGAAGCAAATCTTAATCATCATTTGGGAAATTCATTTTGAAGTTTGATCAAATCAAGCTTGAGAATATTGACAGCTAAAAATTCGTAGTTCAACTTTCAGATATATATAATTGAAGTGTGATCTTGGCAAATTTCTTGCGCGATTATTGGAAGAAGTTAGAATTTTGCTTTTACAATTAATATGCCAAACTTTAGTGGTGAATTTTTGTAACTTTAAACTTGTATACTTGAAATTGTTTCCAAAATCTAACTAAATCTACAAAAAAATATTAACTTCGCCTCTATAAACCGTGACACTATGTTTTAGAAAAATAATAATATTATGGTACATTAATTAATTTGATGGGAAGTAACTAATTGCACACTGTGTGAGCTCCCGGTGGAGGGGTAAAAAAAAAGCATTGGTGGCAAGAAAAGAATTTGATTTATTGGAAATCAACCTGACAGGTGGATTAGTCCAATTAAATTCTTGGTTGACTTGTAAATACGTGCATGAGTCAACAAGCCTAGCCAGCTTTGACTTCATTTACATTTATTTATTTGGTAAAATTAAGACTTTAAGTTGAACGATGATGGCCATGGGTAGAAGCTAACTACATGGATTTTGCTTTGAAACTAAGATAATTTATACTTTAAAAATATTTACTTTTTGACTTTTGTTGTGTTTGGTATGATGGGAAATATTTTCTTTCAAGATGTTTTTAGGAAAATAAGTGGATTATTTACGGGAAATTTTAATAGTTCGATTGATTGACAATCTGACATTTTACATACCTTATTGAGTTATTGGTGAAGGTTTTCCATACCCCATTGAAAAAAGGGTGAAATTTTGAACATATTTTCTAGTGTATAGTATGCAGATGAAACATATTATCCTAAAAATGTTTGTATATATATATATATATGATCTAGACAAATATTATGGAAAGTACAGATGGAATAGTGGAGCTATGGGAGTAGAAGTGAATATAAGGTGTGTTGAAGGGTGGGACTTGAGAGCACATGAAATATCACTTGCGAAATTTATTTTCGATACTATGATTATTTTCCTAATAAAAGTATTATTCAATTTTTTTGACTAACTGATCCGGAAAAAAATGAAAAACATTAGTTGCGCGTAAGAAACACACCTTTTGTCCTTTTGAAATTCTTTTTCTTAGATTCGATTGATACTGTAAGGTAACTTTACTTGTTTGGGCCGTTCAATACGACACTATAATTAATACTTTAATACTCCGTATATTATTTAAAAGTCAAAAAGTTTTTATTATAATCTTTTTATTGTTTAAGTTATTTATGTTGTGCTCTGTAATCATTTTGTTTAATTTTTAAATCTATAAAGTTTATCAAAAAAGTAATTATTCATAATCACACTGATATTTTTGATGAGTTGACTTTACACACGTCAAGAAGGAGTTGTATACTATACTTTTCTTTCCTCTGGGCAAAAAGAATACGTTACAATGGTCATGGCACCTATTTTTAGTGTGACAAAAGACAATGACGAAATCAGAAATTTTGTTAAGAAAGTTCAAAATTTAATACATACATGTGAAAATTAATTTTTGACCTATTTACTTTGTACAATTTTTTATATACATATTTAATTTTTCGACGAAAAGTCTCTAACTAGCTACCCTAAACTATATGTAACTACGCCTCTAGATAAGACGTTATAGTTCAAGAGTTTAAATAATATTTATTGATTGTGTAATAATTCTACATTTTTCTATAGAAACAAATAATTCACCATTCATGAAGTGTTATATACACCTTATTATTATTGTTGTAATATATTATTATATAGTCTAACCAAATTATTCTTATTTTATTTGCTTAAGACAACTGAACTAACAAAAAGATAAAGATGGAACTAGTAAGCACGTTATGTTGATGTTTCAGGTTGGGCAGCCAAATTTCTGCGGCACACGTGGACGTTTCTTAAGTTAAAAAATTATACTAATTAATTAAATTTGGTAAACATAAGCATTTTTTCAACGTTAGAGAAATATATATTAATTATCACGTTCTTATCGTCTTTAACAAAAGAGAGTTATTATAATGACGTACCTAATTAAGCTATGATCAATTAGGTTACAATAGACACATAACAAAGGTATGATTTAGATGTGTGCCATTCTAGACACATAACAATTTACGTATTAATTTATAAGGTCATTAACAAATTAAACACTTTAATAAATGACCAAACTTGAAATTCTATCTTATACTTAGTTCATATATAAAGTAAACGTGAAATATGTGTCAATATCTTAATTAAATCACAACCTCTCTCATGTGTGTAACTTGTAAGTGTGTTTTTTAATTATATATTCTTCCTTCTGCCTCTTTAATGTGTGAAAGGAGGAAAATAAGAGAATATTATTTTTCTCATGTTATCGTCATTTATAAGTATAAAAATTAGTAATATCGTAGTAATTATAATGTAGAGATTATCTTTTATCTGACTCCCTTTCTCAAGGTCAACTTAGAGGCTATATAAATTTATTTGAATAATTTAATTTGATATATATAGAGGTAGATGCATGATTAATTTAATGTATTCTCAATTTTAGAACGGTGATTTCAAGTTATTAACTAGATTCTAAATTTAATATTTACACATATTTAATGAATTTCTCAATTGTACAATATTGTTTAAGCAAAATTTATTGGGGTCATCCGAACTCGTGTTTGGTACATATATATATAATTATTTGCACTTGTTGCTATTGAAAAAAAAACTTTCTATCCCACAAAGGTAGAAGTAAATATGCGTACATCTTACATTCCCTTGACCCTATCTGTGAGATTACATTGTGTAGGGATGTACATGACAGAGTTAGGTCGGATTTTTGAAATATCAAACCAAATCATTGTTGTTAAATTTTAAAATCTATAAACTAAATCAAAGCTATAGCATTGAATGAGTATAAACACAACCGGGAAATATAGAAAATAATGTTCAAAGTCCTCATATGAAAGACCTATTAAATTTCTCAAAGGTAGACT